AAAAAAATAAGTTTGGGACCGCTTGCACCACTCAAGAAAAGCCCAAAATACTGCTATCCCAGAGTGTCGAATTTCTTGAGATTTGGAAGGTTTTTGATCTATAAGGTTTCTTTTATCTCAGATATGAATCATCAAAGTTGGATAAATTTGTAGCCTATACTATTCCCTATCTAATGAGATGTGCCCGATCTCAAACGGTCAAACCATTCGTGAGAAAATGTGAAAATACTGAGCACACCCATTTTTAGCGACTTTTTAGGGTCAATTTTGACCCCCTTAAACTTGTTTTAGCTCGCATTTTTCATAGGTAAAACCAAATGAGCTAATATTTTGGATTTAAATATAGATTACCTGGACCTATCATTTAAGAAAATAAAATCGAAAAAAGAATTTTTTTCCCCGGCGACCTATATGGAGAGAAGGGTGGTCTTCTCGCGGACCCTCTCTTAATACTTATTTCAATAGAAGTTATGAAACAAAGATTCCGATATTAATTGAATGGTGATGTTTTATAACTATATATGTTTCATAATATTTGTGGAAGCAGATGATTTCTGATTTCAAACTTTCATACTCAAAAAAAGATAAAGACCATTAATATTCTCCTCACTAAAGAGATAGTTGAATGATGACATTACACTCATCCTTCCAACGGCAATATATTCGCTCAAAGAACCTCCGACCACTTGCCTTATATAATTGGCTTCATATTAATCCCAAAAGTCTAATTACTAAGTATATTTACTTCTTATGTTAGCTGAGTTCAATTTATTGTGTGATATCATTAATCTGTGTATTTTATAATCCAAGCTTAAGATAATGTTTAAAGAAAGGACATTCTTAAATTTATTTGGTCATATGTATTGCAATATTCCTAATTGAATATTTTACAAACACCATATATATTTAAAATGTTTTACTCATTTGGCCATTATGTTAGATGCTAAAAAATGAAAACCTACAAAAAAAAGTGTTTTTTTTTTCTAAACACCAAGAAGAATAGATTTGAAGAAAGTCATTTCAACAATCAAATGATGGTGCAAGATAGTTTCCAAGACTGGAATCATCCGTTTGGCAATGTGTTTTGAAGTGTGCAAGTCTATTTTAGAGATTTTGTGTTAAATCTATATGAATTGACTTGACACTAATCAATCTTCAAAACTATTGAATGCAAATTTATAATGTCAATCTGAAGTAACGTTGATATTTCTATAGAACCGATCTCAAAGATCATGTAGCACCTTCGTTTGATTATTTACATTATGGATTGTTTTATCCAGCCTTTAGATGTTTCGCTATTCCGGAAAACACAACAACTTGTTCCAAAGTTTTACTCCCTTTATTAACTGAACAACAGGATCAATAGACGAGGGAATACTGTCAAAAGTCGCGAATTTGGAACAAAATTTAATCAAGAATCAAAAAATTCATAAAGTTATCCAACTATGAAAAATAAAAGTACAACAAAAATCCAATTTATATCATAATGCATTCTTCATTTTATTATTCTGGAAATCACAGATATTTGAAATTGACAATGAGAATATATTTTAATGGTCTAGGAATCATCCATAAAGAGTATTCAGGTAGAGGAAGGATGTATCAAAACTGGACAGTGGAGAGGGAACTCAAACATTTCTGGACGTCTAGACGCTAACTAGGAATACTTGCCTTTTTTTACACAACTTTCAGTGAAATTTTGAAGCATATTTTTAAACAAGAAATGAATCAGTTGAATATAAATATGGTATTGAAATAATTGAAGACTATGCTACATGAGCAGCTAGTTATTTTTTTGAGCAGTAATAGAAATGTTGTTGAATTTTTGAGTGCTACGTGTCTCTTTTTTATATTTCTACTATTTTCTGCTCATTAAAATACAATGTATTTGAATAAGCAGGCTCTTTTTAGAAAGTTGTCTTTTTTTATGCTGAATGTTCAGGAAGGGAAGGGAGTCGATAAAACTGAACAAATCTGGACAGAGAGGACGAAACTCAAAAAATGCGAGTTTTACATAGATATTCTTTATGGATGGTTCCCTAAAGAAAAAGAATACTTTTCGTGTTCGAATAAATATTGTAATGCTGAGAAAACTGTCGCATTTATTGATTTAGACAATTTCTAAATCAAAATAAAAACTTTCTTATATCGTAAAAACATCGTCGTCTACTACAAACGGTCATAATTATCTAATTGTTTGTCATTTTGTTTTTAGAAGTGATATAGATCAATATTATTTTTACTTTATTCTACATTTCTATTTCAAGCTTTTCCCCTATCCATATATGTTTTGAAAAAAAATATCCTTTCTAAACATTCACTGTAAATGATCTAATAACAAACAAAACCCTGAGGCTATTCTAAAAAGAATTTATATTCAACCACAAAAAAAAGAAAATATGTTTTACTATTTCTTTTAAAAAAATTCATCGAGTGTTTTTTCTTAAAACATGCATATTTTAAAACAAGTATCGTCACTATTCTATCAAATTATGTCTCAAGAAAAGAAACAAAGAAAACTAAAATTATATGCATCAATTATAATATATTTTTTAAATGCAGGGAAAAACCGTGAAAATCCAAAAAAGAAAGAAAACGAATACATATGCTCTTTGCTCTGACTACACACACAAACAAATACAAATAAAACGAGTTAACATCTCGTTAAATTTCTTCTTTTTTTCATATATATATATACATGTGCACACACACACACACTCACACATATAAAAGACATCCTCTGTTTAATTAACCATCACTAAAATCCGAATTCGTTTGGTCTAGACTATCATCTTCCATAGGCATCATCATATCTTGATCATCAAGTTCCTCTTCATGGATATTAACCGGATGAAACATTGGCATTGTTGCATGATAATCATTTCCTTGTGGAGGATGATGTTCAATCCATTCACTATGACATGACATTGTTGGCAAAGGTCCATGTGGACCAATTACATATGAATCATCACTATTCGATGGTGGTGATGATGCTAATGAATACATCATTCCGTCACGTGTATTTAGAAAAGGTCCATTCGTATTAACTGAACCAATCGGCTGTAATGTTGATAATGGTCCAGTTTCATAAATATTCGAATTTCCATTAACTGCTGATTGACCACCACCTTGACTATTACATGGTGATAGAACACTCATAGGATGTCCGAGAAGAAATGATTCACCATTTGGAACGAGTGGTGGCATTGATGAAATATCAAGACGATGACGCTAGAGAAAAGAAAAATTTGATTGACTTAATTTGATAAATTATTAATTTAAAAACAAAAAAACTTAAAACTAATACCTTTGGATCACCAGGAAATCGTGATTGTTGAGCAGCAGTCTTTTTCTTATCTTTACATCCTATTATAAACATTCAAATAAAACCTTAGAAAAGAACAAAAAAAAAAA